GCCAAGCAAACTCGGTGAGACCAATTTCATATTTCGATGAGACCGAAATTAATGCAATAGGCAACAGAGAGTTTGCAAGCCCATCTCGATGAGACCAAGATCCTATCGGTGAGACCAAATTGATTAGGGTTTCTGGCAGTAGCTATGTTAAGAGAACTCTGTGGCGCCGGATAGAAAGTTTCGGTGGGGCCGAGTTTAACTTTTGGTTTGGGACATATGTGGATGTGAGAAAGTGATTGAGGGCTTTGGAGCATAAACTAAGCACTTTGAGTAAGCAAGCCATTTAAGCAACACCTCATCCCCTCTTAATAGTATTGGCTTTTCTATGGACTCAATGTGATCTTGGATCACTAAAATGAAAAATATAGAGTCCCGAGCTTTGAGCTTGAGCCAATCATTTGTCCTTATCATCTCGAAGGGGTTCCACATCCTCTAGTCCATGTCACTCCATTGTTAAACTTATCTGAAACATACTAGATGAAAGCATTAGTCCAACAAGAGATATGTTGACATTAATTACCAAAATCAACCAGGGAGCACTTGTGCTTTCAATGCAGTGTTGCGTGGTTCTCCTACTGGTGCGATAACCTTGGTCTCATCACTGAGGGAAATACCTACCGTAGATGTGTTGCATCATCCCTTCCTCTTTGGAGAAATACCAACGTAGTCACTCACTTGGCGACGGTTCCGAACGCCGTCGCGGAAAGGGGTTAAAAACTGGTTGTATAGCACCTCAATGTACCAATGAAAAATGACAATTTGACCCATGGTTTTTATTATATTTATAAAATACGTATATATTTATACGTAAAAAAGAGCATACTCAAAATATGATGCATACTATCTAAAAAGTAATATATATACTGTCCAAACATTCGTATATACTACATACTACACGTACATACTCTACGATTTGATAGATATTACATACAACATACAAAACTCAAATGGTGGTGATTTGATAGATATTACATACAACATACAAAACTCAAATGATAGTAACTTGTAAGTGCATCTAGTGCCCCTTAGTGATTTTGATGTATTAAAGACTTATAGGTTAAGGGACTAATGCATTTATGAGTATACTGTCACATCCCTAGTTCTGGTATGACCTAGACCAGCTAGTCATTTGTGCATCATGTTTAAATTCCACTAGATGACCCGTTACGCCAATGACGCAAAGGGCGAGAGTGACACCATGCAGGTGAGAATATTTAGAGACCGATGATCAACAAAAGGCATCAATGTTATGGTCTCCGAGAGAAGATCGACGTCTTTTCTCCCTATTTTCACAACCTATTCTATCCAGGAATTAAATGCAACCACTGAGGGCCATATTCTTAAGAGCATAGAAAGGGAAGCACTAAAAATCCAAAAGCAAGTGCATATCTGTTTGTAGCGAAAAGAGATGCGTGACAGTTATCTCTAATCTCATAATAACAGCACTCAGTGCAGAAATCATAACCAGAATTATTCATATCTGAAACAAATACCAAACAGAATTATTCATATCACATAATTGCCTAACAAGTTATCCTTCATCTCTAGGTTTAGAAGAATGAACTTTCTGGGAGGCTATAGGAAATGATTCAGCGTTGAGATTTCAGCACTGATTACAGCACATATTGCACATAGTAGTAATGCATCAGGCTTCATGAGGCTTCCGTTTTCTGCATCTACAACCAATACCAACAAAAGGCCGAACTATTAAAATCTTTAGTCTAGGCGGCATGTATATTTCTATTAGACGATGGGGGCTCCCTCACCAAATAAGCATGTAAAGATAATAAGAACAACACGCATATGTTGACAGAGGCAAAAGGAAGCAGACCACATATACAAGTTTTAATGGATATCTAATCTATTACACACCATGCTTAGTAGAAAAAAAAAGCAACAAGCAAGCCCAATATGCATCAGCTTATGTTTTAAACCACTGCCGGTGCCATTGACATGCACAAGATTACATTACAAAGATGTATAGCCTGTCGTATAGGCATCAGTGTTGATGTGAAGAATTGTACAGAATGATGCATTGGGAAACACAACAAATCTTGCATCCACCCTCAACAATGTTGCAGCCAAGGAGTTAACCATAGCAAGATTTAGACAAAGGAATGACCATATTAATGAAGACAGGTTCTAAATGAGATTAAGTCACAAGAACTTTGCCTCCTTGGATTATAGATGTAAACTGGATCTGCAGTAATTCATTGTAATAGATAAGAACATTCGAGAGGATCAGGAAAAAGCGCTAAAGTTATTGAAATGGAGCTCGAAGCCTAACCATCAACAGATTGCATGCAAATTTTACAAAGCCTATATCGTAACTCATAACAAAGCATCTCACTGTTTCTTATGAATCAGATATAATGATTATGAATCATGAAAAAACACAGCTCCGTACCAGCCTTCCAGGAACCAAATATAAAAAGCTTTCTAGAAGATCCTCTAATAAATGCCTCTCCTGATATGTAATTTTCCTGAAGAATGGAGAAATCACAGGGGATTTAGGATCACTGACCAGTACATAAAATAGAAAATGCACAAAATATAAAAGTGGACAAAATTCCCCATAGAATCAACATCACAATCAGTAGGCATTAACTAAACATGAATTAAATATAAAAGGCACACAATATGATGGAGCGGAAGAGGACATCAGGCTTCCAGCGGTGGCGCGACCTGCGGTTGACAAAGCCGTTGGCGGCTACTCACCTAGTGCCCCTCCTGCTTGGCGGCAAGGAAGAGGTAGCGGTGGTCGTCGAACCTCTTGCTTAGCTAGGGAGGAGATGGTGGCTGGGAGCAGGAGCCGCGTGAGATCCGCGTCCGCCATCGCCCACCTGCTGAGCCACCTCTCTGGAAAGCTTCCATCGGCAGCGGTCAAACATGTTGGCTCTTTCGGTCCATTCAACCAACTTAGGTTCCGCAGGTTCTTTGCCAACACTGCATACATTACTGAAACAAACGTATTGAAATGCCACCGTTATTCCTTCATACTATCAGGTGATGAATAAATTTATTTCAACACATTAATTACATATTCAGTGTCAATCCATGTATGATGTTAGGCTAATTCTTTAACAATAATAATAAGGAATTGGATCTACAATATGTGACCTCAAAATAAATAAGTGAAGAAATGGATGTATCAATAATTTAGAAGGAGGCCAAGGGATTGGTTTGAGGTAGAAACAATGAGCCTGTGGGATGGGAGGCTTCATCTGTACCCAATCGGTGGCACTAAGAGACACGTCACTCTGACCTATTGGTTTTGTTGTAATTATACAGAGATGGTAGTAATCCACCAAGTTCCAAACAAATGTATTAATCTAAGAATCTCTAATACCATATACTAATTGCTTGGAACGAAGACGTTACATATACAGTGCAGGAGAAGAAGGTATTGATGCTCCTCTTCCTATATAAACTGAAATGCAATCACTTTGTCACACATGTCCAGCTAGCTTGTAACTGCCTTATAATTATATGTATCAGGAAAGGAACGTGTTAGGTGCCAGCTATATGCATGTTCATAATACTTAGAGCCCCTGGAAAAAGACCATATCATATCCTAACAATCTCGATTCTAAATAGAAATATATGAATTGTAATATCCAACATTTTTTCTGAATTCTGTATATGACACATATACACCGAGAAAAGCAACAGTTCAGTTCTGTGACTGAAATTTGTCATCCTGATAACACCATTAGTCTAATGCAGTTCCATCTGTGTGATACGATTATAATTAGGATTGGCATGCACCTTTTCCATGAGTGTCAAAGATACAAAATTAGCAACTTGTTTCATTTGAGCAATCCCTTTTGCAGCTATGTATGTCTGCTTAATTATCACTCCATAAGACAAAATGGCACTCTGCATTTCTAGACATCAATTCAAATCTACAGATGTAGCAAAGCCCCAATAATACAATCGCCAAGATGAGAAATGCTGGTCTGCTCAGAGCACTGAGGCTGACGCATGAACCACCAACAAAAGCGAAACATGCAAACAACTATGACCAGATGCAAACGACCATGGCAGGAGAAGATTTGGAGGAAGGGAGGAACATGTACTTACATCGGTGTGAAGAGAAAACTAATAGAGAAGCTGGAAGAAGGCGCAGCAAAGACATAGAACATTAGGAGGCTGAGCAGGAACAGTAGGACAATAATTTAACCTGAACCACAATGAGAAAACATTTTCCAAGATCCTGAAAAAAAAACCAGCAAATATATGACAGCGCGAGTAAATAGTAAACAGAAATAACTACTGGAACCTGAAAGCACAGGTTCATTTTACTGAATGGTTAATTCGACCTGCAGGTCCTCCACTGCGCTAATTTGACCTGCAGGTCCTCCAACCCTAGCCGCTCGGGCCGCTGGTGTGCGGCGTCGCCATGGACGCCGGCGGGGCGCCCGCACCTCCGACGCCTTCAACGTTGCCTACGGGGCATCCACCTCCTGGTACACCCCCTCTCACCCAGGCACACCTCTGCTTGGGGTTACTTGCGCTTGTGGTTTCCCCGTGTGAGTATGTAAAAGGCCGTGGAACCTTTCGATCCGATAGTCGATTGTATAATAGCTTATCTATAGACGCGTGTGAGGGATTAGAAATTTTGCACAGGCTTGAGAATCCCTGACTATCTTGATCCGCCCCTTTTGTAGCAAGAGATCGAGTTGACCCGGTCTGTGCCTAAACGAGCAGCACCGCGGCTCCATGCCTCCTCGCCTACGAGGACGACAACATGGCCAGGTTGACGAAGATGGCGAGGTAAGTGTTGATGACCCTGATCTATATCTTTCCCCTCACTCTCTTTCTGTCGCACACGGAGAGAACTGTGGTGGCAGCCCAGTAGATTTTCTACGAAATACAACTTTATTTTGAAAAGAAAGGAAGTTGATTAATGCATACAAAACGTGACTTTATTAGAGAGAGAGAATTCACCTTGTTCTTCACTAAAATCTTCTTCAAGATTCTTCTTCTTCTCTTCTTTCTCATATCTACACACATCATGTATAGAAAAATCAAGAAATCAACATCAAATTTAGCTAGCTAACAAGGTCTGCATCCATCGGAGAAAAAGGTAACTCTGCTCACCTGTAGTGGATTAATAAACGTTGGAGGTTGCTGGCCATAAAATAGTTGCTGACCAACTCCACGAACACCAGCAGGGACATTGCCATGCGAGGACCAACAGTTTAAGCCATTGAAACAGGACGCGTTTGTGAAAACCATGCCTGCAACAAACAACAATTTTAGTGTCAGAAAATCTAATTACTGCACAAAACCAGAAAAAGTAAATAAACAATATGGAAACCCTATTTAGGTAACATGTATATTTTTTCCTGGTCTCCTGAAGAGTATTCAAGTACATCCTTGCATCAGGGACGCCCTTTGTGAATGTCTCAAGACTATAGTTAATTCTCTGAGAATCGGAAAGAAGATCTGCCCTCCATTTAGACAATGGAAGGCAAGCTGGCAACTGACATCCTAAGTAGTGAATATCGATAGTACTTAAAAGCATGGAAACTTTCTCTGCTAGTAATTCATATCAAAGAGATATGGAATTAACAGAGTGTGCACACAGAAGAAATACATACATATCAATTACAGATATTTGAACGAACCTAAGCAAAATATTAGACGACCTTCTTTAAGAAATTTAGACCATACGCTACTGAAGTTATATGATTTTACCTGTTTCATTTCTGGCACGAAAACAATCTGAGCACAGTCTGCAGCTGAACACCGAGGAATAAGATTTCAGAATATAGGGTAACAATTTGTATGTCTTGAAGTAAACTGCAAGCATATCTCCGAAAAAAATAAAGGAAAGTGATTAGCGAATGTCAATCACAACCTCCTCTGAACATAGGCAGAAGAATTGTGATAGAGGCTTTGATGTTTCTGCATACCTTCCATGCTTTTATGTTTGCATTAGCCCACTGGTTAAGGCATTATACTATTTTATTTAACCTCTCTTGATGCTTGATACTTTGCGTCTTTGAAATAAAATACGGGATTATGTGGTCGGCTTTTTGTTGACGACCAGCAACTTCGTCAAACAGGGATTAGTCCACCAAAATTAAAGCTTATTCGGAACAAAGCTTGTTCGGAACAGGGGTTAGCATCTATAGCTAGCAAGATCAACCATCAATGACTTATCTAATTAAATGCGACCAATAATCAAGCAAATAAACTGTAATCCCATCTCAGCTAGCAATATAAACAAACAAGGGGTAGCATCTGTAGCTAACAAGATCAACCATCAATGGCCTATCTAAGCAAACACGACCAATAATCAAGCAAATAAACTGTAATCCCGTCTCAGTTAGCAATATAAACAATTACACAACAATCCAGAATCTCACCTCATTCTTCTTCAGCTGAACTCTACCGTGTAGTTCATCATGCGCTGCAAGATGGAGAACACAACACAAAGGCCAGGCTCCGTGAGCACGATGTCGGCACGGACCTGGCAGCGTCCGTCGCATCTGAGGATTGTGCATGTGAGAAGAAGATGTGAATACATACACAGATTCATATACTGGGCAGGAATGTAACAACAATTGTCTGCTTGCATAGGAAATAATGGTCATAATGGTGCCAATGGCAAGAAATTGCCTGCGGAACTGGACAGTGCAGGCCAAGGCATACATTTCAGTCACTTAACATAGATGAGTAACGAAATAAAAAACCAGAGAGCCGTGGAAGCACTGACCTCAGGCGGTGCTGCCCTTGCGCTCCTGGCTCCGGTACTGCACGACCATGTACGGGTCTATCTTCCCTGCAAATACAAGTAAATCAGATCAATGTCCATCAGCAGACGAACCCAAGGCAAGCAAAGAGCATGCTTGGTGGTGGTGATAAATGTCTCCAGATTCGATGGAAGGCGTGCAGTGGAATAGTCACCAAGGAAATCGCTGCCGGAGTACACAGTGAATATTCAAGTAGCAAGGTCTTCGTGAATACACAAAAAAACTTGCATCCATCATGCACCGTGAATGCTAAAAGCTGTTGTGATGCTAACCAAGATATCTAAGAATAAAGCATCATAGTTTTACCGAGAGGAGAGCATTTAGCATGGGCAAGCATGAGCACATATAACACACTGGTTCAACTGCCAGTACTTTATTATCTACAAAGAAAGCAGTAATCAGTTGTACTACTAAATCTGGAATAAGAACATGATAAACCATTGTTGTTGGTCTGAAACGACATATCAAACTGGAGATTGTAAATATACCAAGATTGAATAAAAGTCTGAACTCTGAAGGTAAGATATAAGTAGTTATTCGATACATCATGTGAAGATAATTTAGAGATTGTAGGCCATGAAAATCATCTTGTTATGATTGACTGGAACTATTTTTTTGAAGAATGAAATCACATGGCTTACATAGATCACTCCTCCCCTCCAGCCTTCTGAAACTTTCATCGAACATCTAGAGGGCCAAATATGGCGAGGATGGGAGCTGTTTGTGCCTCACCTGTTAGCACCGAGGAAGAAGTCGACCAGAGCAGCAACGTGAGCTTGGTGACAGAGAAAGGGACGCGTGAGGAGGGGGAGGGGGGCTAGCGGCGTCTCACCTTAATCCAGTGGTGAGTTGATCTCTTGTGGCAGAGTGGGCGGGAGTGTGCTGCCACCAGCCCACCATGGCTCTCTCCACGACCGGACACGGAGAAGCAGCTCCAACGGCACCCCAGGGACGCGGCTGACCTCCTCCTCCTTCCCGTATTCTTCTCCCGCCGCTGCACCTCCCTCTCCTCTGTCCTTTCCTTGTCCCTCCCCTCCTTACTTCGATCTCCCTCGTCTTCTCTCTCTCCTGCAGGGACGCCACTGCTGTCGTGACCCTCTCCCGTCCGCCGTTGCTCGACGTGTGCGCAGCCCCCGAAACCGCGACCTTGGTCTCCGTCTCTGCAGTCTCCCGTCCGTGTGTGACCACCCCAGATCGAGGGCTCCTCCTGAGCACGTCGATGCCGGATTGGAGAGGAGGTGGCGGATTGAGGAGGAGGGAGAGGAGGCGGGGATTGGGGAGGAGGGAGGGGAGGCGGGGACGAACGGCGGCGCGAGGAGCTGCGCCAGCCGCCGCGCACGACGAAGAGGAGGGGATCGGGAGGAGAGGAGGCGGCGCAGAGGAACGGTGGGAGAGAGAGAGAGGAAGTGGAGGCAGATATTTTTAGGCCTCGCCTCATCTCTGGCCGGTACGCGCACGCCTTTGTAACGCTAAAGAGCAGCTGATTTGCTGGACCCATAGCTATAGTGGTCCACCCGGCAGAAACCTTCAAAGAAGACGTGAATGTATAAAAGAATAAACGGTTGACCATGCGCCAGCATCCAAAACGAAGCTACAGGAAAACAATCGACCGGCCCAATGAGCTTAGCGCACGCGGGTGCCCCAGGATGACGGGTAGCACAGCCAGGTTTATATATTCAATTTAAATTTGAAATGGGGATTTGTGAAATCCTCAAAATCATTTCTGGAAATGACCCAGATAAAAATTGCTTCAAAAAGGTTCAAGAAAATGTTCATGTTGCTCTCTGAAAATATTGGACAGAGATAAAAATTAAATCAATATTTTTAAGAGCTCATAAGTATTTATTTTGGGTATTTGGAATTAATTCAGTAATTATTTGCTTTGGATATATATTTACATATATATAATATATGTCCAAAAATTCTGAATTTTGGTGAGGGGCTTTCAATTAATCCTTTAGGTCCCTGTAAAATTTGACAGAATTAAATAAAATGGTTTAGTTTTATTAATAAGTCAGAACAAATGTCAGAAAAATAGAAACGAAAACAAAAGTGGAGAACGCTTACCTGGGCCGACCTACCTGGCACTGTGCAGCCCAGCCGGCCCACTGGCCCAGTGCCAGTCGTCGTTGTCCTCGCGCCAGTCGGACAGGTGTGTGGCCGACGCGCGCGCACTGCCGTGCCGCCACGCCACCAGCCTGCCTGCCCTCTCCCCTGCCAACGCAACGCGCTGGGCGACATCGCGGGTGCCGTCCCGATCCGGTCGACCTCCTCACTTTTCCCCTCGCCTTCTCCCTCGCTTGCCGCAGCCATGGCCGAGCGCCATCCTCACCGCCATTCGCCGTAGTCGTCGCCAGAGCCGTCCCCTCGCCCCTCCGTCGAGTCCACGAGCTCCGCGCCGTTGCCCTGCAACGTCTCCCTCAGCCACGCAAGCCGGAGCGCCCCGAGGAGCCGCCATCACCGTCATCTTCACCTCCGGTCGCCCGAGATAACCGTCGTTGTTCTGCCCGCGTCGGACCTCCCCTGAGCTCGCTGACGCCTCCGCCGGATCCTCTGTGAGCCATTACGTCGATCCCCCCTTTCCCCTAGCTCGTTTCCTTCCTCTAACAACGATGTCGTCGGAGCCGAGAGCTCTTCACCGTCGTTCATGTCGCCTCGTGGCCACTGACACCTAGGGCCGCGACCGAGCACACCACTGTGCTCAGTGCAACGCCAGGACCCCAAAACCCTCACCTGTTGCTCCTGCCGTGCACCGTAGCCCTTCTCCCCTCCCCGCCGAACTCCGGTCGCCGCCCAAGTGGTCGCCACCGTCGATTTAGGCCGTCTCCGGTGAAACGGAGGGCACCAGCGGATGCGCGCGAGCACCAGCTCCTCGGAGATGGTCTCTACGGCCCATTTGGTCGCCGGAGACGCGATCCCGAGCCCCTCTGCCGCGTTCGGCCTCGCCGGCGGCTAAACGCCGGTGGGGTTTGACCCTTTGACCTCGCCGGCCCGTCAGGTGGGCCCCATGGGTCAGGTGATTAGCTTAAGACTAATCACCATTTAACTAAACCTGACACT